CAAATGGTGATTGAACCAACACAATTCGATAATTATTATGGTTTTTACCAATAAACAATGGTGATTGAAGCAACACACTTGGGTCATTTTTATGTTTTTTTACCAGTAAAAATGGTCATTTTACTCAACAACAATGGCAATTTACAGTTGATTTACGCGAGCAAACTTGGTTTTATGAAGCCAGCCCTAGATATATCTACCACAAACTCAAGTGAACCTGATGATCAGCCAACTGATGTAGCCACCTTCTGCAGATTCGAGGTCTGGGACAGCAACTACGAGGCCAATGAGCCCTGTGCCCTGCAGTTCCTGGGTGTCTTGGTCGATTTGAAGGAAAGTTCAGGTCGATCTATGATATATCTATGATATCGGTATATATATATATATAGAATAGACATTAAAAATAAGCTTCAGTGGTATCCCCAACAGCTGCAACGATTAATGTTTACAAATCTTTCTGAAGCGTGCTGCGAAGCCAAGCGTTGGAAACACCTGTTGAACCTGACCTGGCTCTGCACCAAAGCATCCCGGAACCTTCTCCGGAACCTTCTCCAGAAAAGCCTCCCAGACCTTCTCCAGAACCTTCTCCGGAACCCTGAACCTCCCAGACCTTCTTCGGAACCTTCTTCGGAACCCTGTTGAACCTGACCTGGTTTTCCACCAAAGCGTCTCGGAACCATCTCCGGAACCTTCTTCGGAACCCTGTTGAAGCTGACCTGGCTCTGCACCAAAGCCTCTCAGACCTTCACCGGAACCTTCTGTGGAACCCTGTTGAACCTGACATGGCTTTGCACCAAAGCCTCAGACCTTGACCGGAACCTTCGGAACTTTCTCCGGAACCTCGTTGAACCTGACCCGGCGCCTGCACCAAAGCACGCCGGAGCTATTCTGGGCTGAAGACCCCATTAGCTTACGCTGTTGGGGAAAAATATGGAGGGTTGAATTTTGAACTCTTTCCACTTTGCTCTGACATGTTGATCCCTGGTTGGAGGGCGGTTCTAATATTGAGTCAGGGATGATATTTATCCAACAAAAAATATGGGGATTTCACGGTTGACGCACAGGATTTTGAGTGGTGATTTCCTTGAGAAGGGGTGAGATTCAATATTTTTGAATTGCGATGGTATAACTCCAAATAGATTATTTTGCTGGGCTGGGGGATGATATTTTAGCCGTTTGAGGAAGTGACCCATCCAAGGGCAGATTTTGGCCAATAAAAATTGTGATCAAATGAATCGAACTGCTCTCAAAAGTCAGTTTTCATCCTACCAAAGTTGTTTTCAACAAAGATGGCCGAATTTGTCGAGTTGGTACCCTTTGGTGCGTCTCCTAGCGCTTGACTCAGCTGAGGTCGAGGGGTGATGATGGTTCTGGATGGGCAAACCTTTCACGGTACCCTGATGCTGCGGAGCCCCGATGACTCAGATTGGCGGAGGGAAAAACATGGCCGGGCATTTTTTGGGATGGTTACACAATAGAAATACTTAGAACTAGACTTGGAAATGAGCAATTGCCCAGTTTAGACGGGTTGGTTCGTTGTTGTTTTGTTCTCCCTGAGATCTCAAAGATTCTTTGGCTGTAGCGTGGGCTGATCGTTTTTGGATGTTTTTGGTACAGTTGAGGTGGCACCCCGGTGATACACTGGAACGATGGAGAGGCAGGGAGAAGGGTAGGAGGTTGCGATGAAAAATGGTCACAACATGGGGAGAAACACTCCAACTTTGGGACAAAATAGAAGGGACACTCCAAAATTCCATCTTTATTGGGTTTGGCTGAAATAGTGCACCCCATATATCAATTGGTTAGTCGGCATGTTTCCTACTAATATAGCCATGAGAAAGGTATATCCCATTGACCAAGCCATTGGGAGAAGAAACCGAGGCCCGTGCTGCTGAGGTTTGGTACAGGTCTGACAACACGGAGTGCTGTCGACTGTGGCTTGGTCGGTAAAGGCTGGAGATGATGAAATCACGCCTATTTTTCTGTGATTCTGACAGGTCTTTCTAATGGTCTAGATCACAGCATGTGACATTTATATTACATTTATGACGTACTGCAACCAGGGATTCAGGTTTGGGTTTCTTTTTTGGTTCTGAGGCAAGGCCTTTGTTTTTGTTGTCATTTTGCCGCTGAAGTCAGGGGATAGAAGATACAGTTTCAGTAAAGTTGATTGCGGAAAAAAAACAGACACACCATTTGGCCATGAACACTTCTCCTTTCTAGCTGCCACCTCCATGGTTTTTCCGTTTTTTTTAAAATATGTTTTCTTGAATAGGCAAACATAGTTCGAAGAATTGGTTTCCGAGTCCAAAGGGCCAGATCTTGTTTGGTGTTGGGATCGGTTTGCTGATTCTTTTGGCAACGATCCGAGGTCCGGCTAGTCAATGCTGCATCCTCGTCACTATAGGAGCATCGACACTGCGACGTGGAGATATTGCAGGGTTGAAATTTAAGGGAAGATTTTCCCCAAAAAAGTTGATTTGCAAGATTTGTAGGTAAATGTCCCATGACATCCCATGACATCCCATGACATCCCATGACATCCCATGACATCCCATGACTTCCCAAAAAATGGCAGAATGATCTTCAGATATCTTCAGATATCTTCACATTCATCCCGCGGGTCCCACGTTTGCCCTGAGCCTTGGGAGAACAGATGACTCCATGGCATCCTTGAAAAATGTTAGCAGCTTCAGGATGCTCCAAATGAGAAAATTGTCTGTAATTGATGTGAGTTGAGTATCACTTTCCATTTAAGATGAATTTGAAATATTGAGGTATAAAATGGTATAGTATAAACATATCCAAGTTTCCTTATTTGTTTTGGAACCCAATTTTTATGAATTCTCCCAGGTAGCTCACCATACTCGATTTCAACAGGCTCCGACCTGCCAAGCAGGGCGGGACCCTCCCGGCTGTCGTTTGTGTCCTGGTGTCCAAATCAATGGCTGTGGCAGCTAAGGGACCCAAAAGAATGTGGTGCTTTTCTTGGTGTTGCACAAGAATCCAGTCACTTTTTTTTCTTCCCCCGTGAGGTCGATTTTTTTTTCCCATCTTGAAATTTTTGACCAACTCAATCCCCAAATTTTGGGACTTCTGTATGAAGTTTTGACACTTCCAGAGTGCCTTCTGTCCCCCGGTGGATCCTTTCGGTGATCCTTCGGTGGTTTTACCAGAGTCTGTTCGGTGAATCTGAGATAGGAATGCGACTGTTGATACATGGATCAAACAGCGACATTTGAGGACTAGCACAAAAAATATTCATGTTCATCTGGATAAAAAGTGGAGTTTATTCACGGATTTGTTGATTGGCAGCTTCCCAATCCTTCCCAATCCACACATCGTGGCTTACCGGGTTTGAAAAAATCTGCGAACACCCCACAATCCACAGAGATGGCAAAACCAGTGGCTGCTTGCCGACTCTGTTTTGGACGCCCCGCCGGCCCAGTCACAGATGCAGAGGATCCAAGTTCGAACGTCTCACAGATTTCGTTTACGCATTTTACGCGGCCCGAAAGTGTCGAAAGTGTCGAAAGTTTCTGCAGGGATGATTTCGAATGTGAGAAGCAAAAATAAAAAAGAACCGCTTCGAATGTTACTATGACAATTTCACTCTGTGCATGAACTGACAATGTGAATTTCAGCTGAGTTTTAAAAACTGCAACGTCCCTGGTCCACGTCCCGATGATCTTCAGTGGCACCAATCAAGCCTGCAACTCGAGCAATGAACAAGGCCCGCATCAAAACGTAGAAGTGATCTGAATGACCACATATGTTTGCAAAATGTATGTCAGCATTGATCTATTCAATTCTATGATATATATATATAAAGTATAAAGATACATACACACACACACTGTATATATATACATACACACACACTTTACACACATATATATATAATGTATATATATAATGTATATATATAATGTATATATATAATGTATATATATATAATGTATATATATAATGTATATATATATATAATGTATATATATAATATATATATATAATGTATGTATATATATAATGTATATATATAATGTATATATATAATGTATATATATACATTATATATATAATATATATATAATGTATATATATATAATGTATATATATATATAATGTATATATATATATATAATGTATATATATATATAATGTATATATATAATTATATAATGTATATATATACTGTATATATATATACACTGTATATATATATATATATAGATACATACATAATGACATAATACATACATATGTCATTCTCAGTCTGTTGCAATAGCTATTTCCCAGGCTTTGACCACTCCCATCTCGAAAGACTGTGCGATAAACTCGTCCTCATTTAGGCCCAAGTTTCCAACCCTGGAATACACCAGAACAGCATGGGTACATGTGAAACGTTCCGCAAAAATGGGGGGAATCTTCAACACCTCCCGAATCAATGGTTGATGTGTCATGTCCATGGTTGGATGCTGGAAGGGGACTTCCAACACCTGGTTAGACACCAGTGGGTTCTACACCGGGCAGACTTCGGGAAGAGCTTCACCTGATCCAATGGCAAGTGACATTGAACAATTCCATCATCGCTCACAATTGAGCCCAAGTGTTGAAAGTCAAGGCACACAACTGCAAAATCCAGGACAGGAAAATCAATGGACAATGGACTATATGTACATATACAATAATATATATATATATATACACATCTATATTTCGTATTTTAGACATTTTTAGACCACTGGAAGACAATCCAATGATTGTAAAGCTCATTGAGTCTTCAAAAAAACACCACAATCAGATGGTCCTTCAAAAAAGAAACACCAAACCGCTTCTTCCACGCCATGGTGTGGCGATGTCTTCCCTACCTTCTCTTGAGCGGCCTTGCGGCCGCTGCCCACTGCGAGGGCCGGCCGCTGCCCGTGGCAGCTCCCAATGGCACGACGACGGCGGAGAGCCATGGCAGCCATGGCCACCATGACCTGGCGCTGGAGTCGATGCTGCCCATCAGCTGTGCGCTAATCCTGGCCTTTGTGCTGTCGTCCTCCATGGAATCCTTTCAGATCAGCTTCTTTCCGGTGGGGGATGGGACATGATGGGACTATGGAGAGGTTCCTTTTTTCCAATTTTATGGACGGTGAGTGAATTGGGGTGTACAGTGTAGAACATGATGTGAGGAGTGGATTGCAAATGTTTTGCATTGCTGTGTGCGCAGAAACACCTGGCAATTACAAGTCGCGATGAGGGGGCTCACAAAAAGTCTCAGCATCTGAGTGTGTCCAAAAGATGCAAATAGACCATGCCATTCCAAGGAGGTGGGTTGACTAAGATATCTAAGCTGCCAAACTTGCCTTAGCTGACCCAAGATGGGATCAGATTGGATAAGCCAATACTGGCAATCATCTCCCCAAGATTTCTGGTATCCAAATCTTGAACGCATTTGAAGTCCATTTGGAATGATAAACATCTTCAATCCACCAACATTTCGCAGATTGGTAAAAGATGTGATGTGTTTCACTTTGGTTTCACTGTACAAAACCATGTATGACCTGAAGGGTTGTGCCAGTTCCCATCACGACCTTCCTATGTTTTTTCACCAAACGCTCCTTTTCCAAGTGCTGAGTTTTCCAAGATTTCTTTCCTACCAGGAGTCTGGAGTGGTGATCATTATTGGGCTGCTGCTGGGCCTCCTGTTCAAGGTCTCCCTGGGAGAGGCAGGGTCGAAGAGGTAGATCTATCTCTATTCAGATATGTCTGGTATATCTTAATATGTCTGGTATCATATGGACTCATAGCTTCACCTCAATCAAATATCAACAAGATATATATATATATATATCAATATGCACATATATATATATATATCAATATATATGTATATGTATATATATAATATATATATATATCAATGTCTAATACATTTCAACAAGCTGATCTATCAATTCCCATGTCGTCCGCAGACGGGCTTCGCATCGGGTGACCTCATTCCCAGCCTGGGCCCGGCAGCGGTGAAGTCGGCCTTTCTGCCCATCATCATCTTCGCAGCTCGGTGACGGAGGAGTTTCGGAGGTGGAGGAGTCACCAAAAATCCGGAAACCAATAGGTTGATGGCTTTTGATCATGGTTTTTCTACGAAAGAAAAAGAACTTGGTAGATATAGTTCTTAAATGTTCTTAATACTTGTAAATGATGGGAAATGATGGTAAGTAATAAGTAATGGTGAGAATTGAGAGATAATAGCAAATGATGGTGGATCATGGCAGATGATGGTAAGAAATGACAAGTAATAGTACATACAGGTCAGGTAAATCATGGTAAATGGCATGCTGAAACTTCCTTGGCAGTACAGTTAAGTGGTTGTCAGTTGTTAGGGCAATACCTAGTGTTCAGGGCTGAAGCAAGTGCATTCCCAAGGAACATAGAGCTTGAGAATACCTGAGAATATATGGGGACGCATGACGGTCTTGTGAGTAAACCAGCAATTCTTTTTTCCCAACGATGGGGATAAACTGGAGATAGAATCAGGATTAAAAAAGGGTTACTGTATAACTTATAACGGGAATAAAATCAAAATGTACCATCCCCCAACTATCATTCAGAACCTGAGAATGACCATTTTTTCTCCGTTTTTGGAGGAACGGATCGTCTTCCACCCCCCATAACCGGCAGGGTCTATGTTAGTTGGGGCGATGGTAACGTATTTGTCGCCACAATTCTCCGCTTTCCCAACGTGGGGTGAAATCGCAGCTAGACACCCAGTTCAAAGCCAGGAGTTCTGATTTCTCACTGTATACAGTAGACGGTACCCTCTGGTAGACTAACATAACTATGGAAAATCACCATTGTTCATGGGAAATTTCACTATAAATCTGCCCGAATTATAACGACGTCACCCGACGTCACCCCAGAAATCGACCTAAGCCACTGAATTAAGGATACTATATAAGGGTTTTAAAGTGTCCTCATTCACCATCGTGCTTCGAATCTCGCAGCCGGACATTTACTCATACCGATTGAACAGAGAATGGAACACTTAAGATCAATCCCAACCTTGGACAGCAAACTCCTCATTTAGTGTTGTGAGCTAGCACTAAGAGACCTAAATGAGACCTATTTCAGCACTTCCTACCCGTACCCGCAATGGAGAGAAGCATGGCTAACTCGTCCTTGCTGAAGGACTTGGGCGGGTAGGATTTCGCAAGACGTTCAATTTGAGCTTTTCAGCCCGCAAAAAGGTCAAATTGGATGTCTTGCGAAACGAGCTGGGGTTCGAACCCTCCCTGGTCTCGGCTCTTGCTCTCTCAAATGTTTCTTTCCATGCTTGGTGATATTTCATCCCTTGTGAGCGGATTCACGATTTTCTGGTATTCTTCCATTCTATCTTTGCATATCTCGCTACATATGTCAACTATCCAGATCCTCTCTTTAGGCAACCCCTAATCTACATTTTGATTGTGGCAGGAGTCGACAGCTGCAGCTGCAGCTGCTGCAGCTGCGAGCAGCTCGCTTGACGCAGGTGCCAGCATTGGGCTTGCACAGGCAGGTGAAGTGCTCATCTTTTCAGTGGACTGTAAACAATAAAAGTAAAGATATGAAACAAATTTTTGTGGAGATGGTGTGTGGATGTGTGTGGGACATGGGTCTGATTTGCGTAAAGTTTATACGGAGCCAAACTCAAGGTCATTTCCTGCTCAGACATGACTTAGTTGCCGTATTTGTATGACATGGAAACAGAGTCTTCCAAAGAGGAAGACGCATTTTCTCGATGGAAAACCAAGTACGAATGGCTGACCTTAGAGTCAGAAGACAATCAGTATTTCCTGGGTTGCAGGGAATGTATGGCCAAGACGTGGTCGAAGCCGAAGCGTGGGTTTGCGGCCGGTAAGTACACAATTAATCAATACTTCTATGAAAGGACATTGGTCCAACACGTTGACTCAGCCATTCACAAAGCATCCCAATCCCATGAAGCAGAAGGGGCGGCGCAACCTGAGCCTGACAGATCAGAGCCCGCCAACCCCCTGGAGCACACCCCGCCCCGTCCCTCTCCACAGTCGTCGGAGCCTGCATCATCTGACCGGAAACCCTGCCGCAAAATGTTTTCCAATTTGATTCTGGCTGTATACATGGTTTTGAAGCAGTGTGCTTCGTCGTCAATGTACCAGAGTTTGTTGACCTTTGCCCAGAAGTGCGGAGGGCTTATTCCAGACAGCCAGCAGTCCAGCACTGTCTTTGAGGAGTGCAGAGATCTGGTGGCAAGTCGCGTCATGGCCAATCTCATTCAGGAAGTGAAGCAGTCACCGTTTTTTTCTCTAAGCGTGGACGAGAAAGACGCTATGCTTGTCATTCTTATCACATTCATTGACTCAAAGGGGTGCAAAGTCACATCACCCCTGGCATATAAAAACCTTTCTGGGCTTGAGGCAAAGGACATCTTTTCATTGATCGTTGCTACTCTAGAAGAGCACGGCTTGCCCAAGGAGAATTTGGTTGCTTTTTGCGCCGATGGCGCGTCAGTGATGGGAACGCGTCAGTCCATGTCACGAGAAGGAAACAATGTGGCTCGCAAGCTGCAAGACTATTGCCAGCACCCACTATTGATTCAGCACTGTGCACTGCACAGGTTGCAGCTTGCAATCGAATCTTCCTTTCATTCTGATGAATATTTCAAAGGTATGGAAAAACGCATCAAGGCATTGTTTACTCATTCATCAAATTCACCTTCGACCAGCATTGATATTCTATTTTGGTCTGAACTCACAGGAGAGGACGTCCTCACCTCTCTGAATACCTCTACTTCCAGGTGGCTCTCCGGGCTCCGCCCTCTGGAGAAACTGAATGCCAGCTATTTAACGATGCTCGCCCACCTAATGTACGAATTTCAACATCAGCTAACAAAGAACAAAAGAAAACAATTCAGTGGATCTTTTAATTTTTCAATGCATGGGAGTTTCGAATGACTGTGGCGGGTTGCATTGATATCCTTCGTCTCTGTTTCCACACCAAAAACCAGCTCGAGTCTGTCAAGTCTTTGACCTCTGTCAACAAGTGCGCTGCTCAGTTAGATGAGGCACTTACCAAGTATTGCAGAACACATTCCATTTTGGCAGAGGCACTGGCCGGCAACGCAGCTTTGCCGGCGGGGGGAACAGAGGCGGAAAAGATTGCCAATCTGTATCGGCAACAGAAAGGACAAAAGTTGCGTTTGACTTACACAGTTGTAGGGGGTGATGTGTTGGACCAAGTGGTGTCTGTGAAACAAATCGAGACACGAGAGCATTTCAAAGAAGTTTTCACCCGTTTGAAGCATTTTGGAGAGACCTGCCAGCAACAAGTATATATAGTCCTGTGGCAAGCCAAGCCAGTTTCATGGCAGCCACATCATTGGATGCCTCAGTTGATGTCCCGAAGTCCAAGTCATCCTTGCTGGGTGTCAAAAGTTAAATGTACATCTCAATCCACAGTGGAGGACCATACTGTAGGATGATCATTCCTAGGCACGGTTAATGGAAGTGTAGCTTTTACGTAAATATGCAATGGAATAATCATCATTTTACGGAATCAGAACGTAATAAATAGTGTTTGCCACATTCGACATAGTAATAACGTAGTATAATAACCATCATTTGACACCTAATAATGATATAAAACTATGCCACTAGCCAACGTAAATATTTGGTAAGAATAATCACCGTTTCAACTGATTACAATGTAATGGGAATACCCCTATAATGCAACCATTCCCTAAAGTAACCACCATTGAACGGAATAATAATGTATATAATATTGTGGATGTAAAAAATCCTGCACCAGTTGGTAACCGCTAAGTAACTATGAAACATCGTAAATAATGGGGTTATAAGGGGATAAACCATAAACCAACTGGTGCAGGATTTCTTCCATCCATAGTAACCCCCATGTGACCTGACAATGATGCACCGTAATAAGTTCACACTGGCCAACAGAACAATACCGAAACAGTAGCACCCGTTTACTTTCATAGCACCGTTATTGATGCCCCCTATTCCCCTTACTTGATTGGTTTGTCGTCCGGTGGTTTCTGTTCCTGTCCCATGTATATATATACACACCATATGTATCATATATGATATGTATGATAGATATGATATATACATATTTGTATATATATATATGTGATATATATATATATATATTTACACATATATATATATGTGATATATATATATACATATATATATACATATATATATAGATGTGATATATACATATATATATATGATATATATGTGCATATGATTATGATATCAAGGTCTCTTCCATGTGATTTCTCCATCAGCCTTTGTTTGCACCGTCTCTTTGGTCAGGTGCTGCATCCTGTTCAGAGCAGCAGCAGCAGCAACAGCGGCAACAGAGACCAGAGAGTGCAGAGGTCTGCCGGGGAGCATGGGGCTGGCAAGCGCTTCACTTGTTCTGTGGGGGCACCTTGTGGGTAGGGAGCAATTTGTTTACAGTGTAATGGCAACCAATGCATCACATACATTTCCTGGGCAAGCCGACTGACCAAAATTCTACACTTGTAGTGTTGCATTCCTGTCACCCACCCCCTCATTCACCCACCCACTCACATGCACACCCACACATGCATTACCAGGCAGCTCCGCCACGGACGCCTGTGCAGCGCCGTCGAAGAAAGGCGGCTGCAACCCCACAGTCACATGGAAAAAAGCGCAGACGATCGGCAGAATCGCCAAAGGATGAAGAGTTAATAGTGCCAGATGATCCAGAGTTCAATCCAGAGGCCATTGTTTTTTGCTTTCGGACAGAATCCTCGTTGGTTGGGAACACAGTGAAAGCTTTTCCAAATTCTGCAATGTGAAACCTCGATTTAGAACCCCCTAAGTGTCATATTATCACTATTTGGGGATTACCCGCCTAGTTGATAAATTATGGTTTATTGATTTTGTTGTTGCGCAACTCTAGAAAGATGAGGTCGAAAGGTCATCAAGAGGGTTGCAGCTAAAGATGCTGAAGAGTCAATAGCTCAGCTGGTAGAGCGTCAGCCTAGCAAGTGGGAAGTCATGGGATCAATTCCCAGAGTGATTGTAAAACTATTTGACACATACATGTAGTGTTTATCTGACGCATGAGCTGGATGTTCCCGCCCATGTTAGGGGGAGAAGCAAGGCATCCGTCCAACATGTTAGAATATATCCCTGTGGTATATACAAAGCATTCTTATGTCAAGTTCTTCCTGGCACCATCTATCCCAGATACGTTTGTCAGCGGCCACTGCCCGCCAGGTGGGTGCTATGGAAATGTCACCTGAAGAACACATGAAAGCCGCTTGGGCTTTGCGAGCAGAGCAGAAGTGGGCTGACGTGAGGGCACATGTCATGATGGCGCTTCTGACAGACAACAACGCTGAGAAAGCATACCTCCTGCTGGCCGAAGCTGAGTGGAACCTGTGTCGATATGAGGCAGCGAGCATGCACTTGGAGTGGCATCTCTCAAGCAGTCCAGACTGCACCGAAGGGCTTCAGCTGCGAGGTGCTTTGGCCCCTTTGTTGAAGGGTCCAGCTCATGAAGGGAATGCTGTGGCTGATGTTCAGGAGATGCATGTCCCCATGACAGTCGAAGCATTTGAAGCGGCGTCACAAGAGATCAAGTCCCGACCTAGTCCCGTTGACATGGCCATGCAGGAGATTTCAGAACTGGCTGAGTTTCCGGCAGCCGCCCACGGTGGCCAGAGGTTTCCACAGTTTGAGGTCAAGATCCCCATCAGTGCTTCCTTGCAACCTTTGTTAGACAAGTGCAAGGTGGTTTCCGAGACACCAGACAGTGTGATCTTTGAGTGTTCAGGTAGCACAGCTCAGAAGCGACTGCTCAAAGCAGCCAGAAGGTGCAGCCCGCTGGAACATGCCGTGCTCGGGTGGCAGAGCGACAGAGCTTGCCAGGACGGCTCCCAGAACATTTGCGAAAGGAGTTGCAGATCCCAAAGAAGGGATTCGCTAGACTTGTGAAGGGGATGGTAACCGACGTGGCCAAAGAGATGGAGTTGACGGAGCAGTACAAGTTCCACCCACAAGCTTTGCTATGCTTACACGAAGCGTCAGAAAAGTTCATGACTGAACTTTTGGCTTTGTGCCAAATCTTGGCACAACATGGAAAGAGGAAGACGATCATGCTGCAGGACCTCAGTGTGGTCATGTACCTTCTTGCTGCGAAACGCTGAAAAAAGTTTTGCGTTGACATTGCGCACGATGGTGCCACTTGAACACCCACATCCACATCCAATCTTTTTTCTGGGGTAGATTCACATCCAAATTGGGACATTGTTTCGCAAGACGTCCAAAATCAACTTTTGGCCGCTCAAAAAGTCCAAATTGGCCGTCTTGCGAAACCGGCTCCCGAAATGCTTTTGGGGATTTTCTGGGAAACATTTTAGTCCGAAGTGATTTTGTGCAGCCCAAACCTTCCAAAACCAGACGTCTTGTGAAACCGGCCCCGAAATGGTGCTGTAACCCTTCAAAACTGGAACCTATATATATATATATATCCTTATCTGTTGTTTGATGATGTGGGCGTACCTGATTCACGCTGCCCCGTCCGATGCTGCACCCCAGGCGGATATTAGATTGGGCCGGAAGGGATGGCAGGATTGTAGGATTACCTCACTTTGTACCTAAGCCCCTCCAATGGATTATCATTGCTTTATCCATGAATCAGTCAACCAACTACACCTAACTACTCACTAGGTTGGATGATCCTTTAAGAAAGGTTGGTCGTTACAATAGGTGTGGTTTTTAAATTATACATGCATGCATATACACATACATATACATATACATACATATATATATCTTGCCCGACGTAAAAAATAATTCACTATTTTATGCGACGTAAACCTTATTTCAATTTTGAAATTAAAAAATCGACCCAACGACCTACGAAATATTGTAATTCAGCCAGATAAATGGTGATTTTCCATGGTTATGTTAAATTACCAGAGGGTACATTGTACATGGCATCGGCATCAAAAAATGCAAGGCATTTGGACAGCTTGGCCCAAAACAAGACCCCCAGGAATCTGGATGGACTTTGCGATGGAAGGACTTTGCCTCTCAGGCCAGTTCCGAAACGAGGCTTCTCGGGGAAGCCATGGTATGATAGGGATTAGGCACCTCAATGGAATAAAACCAACAGAAACCTATCACAAATCGACAATATAAACTATGAATCCCCAATTTTTCTTGGTTAAATCCTCGTTTTCCTGATTTTTTGACAGCTCAAATCACACTTTGTCCGTCTAAATCACCATGTTTCTTCATGTTTCTGCCTTAATTTCCGTCTAAATCACCATTTTCCCCACATTTTTCTGGGGGGCACCTTCTTTTCAAGGGCCAGGTAACCCCCTACCACCGCGTTGTTATCGGTGCAGGTGGGTTACATCCTGATCTTTGCCGTGCTGGGCACCATGATTTCCATGGCCATCGTGGCGCTTTTGATCGTCAACACCAGCCGCTGGGATTCAAGTGATACAAGTATCAAGCCTAACAAACGACTGATAAAATGATTAATAACTATTGTTATACTATATATAGGGTATGTAACTATAGTAGGGTATGTAACCATATGATTAATAACTATATATATAAAACTTAATGATTAATAACTATATAACTATATATAACTTATATAAACCATAATTAAGTAGGCTATGTCATATATGATTCTTCGTAATATTATGTAATATGGTAATTATCTTACTGGTGCTTAGCAGGGAATTAATATCCATAATCACTAGTTAATCATCCCAGCAACCCCCAGCAACCCATCCATTACCTACTAAGCACCAGTAAGTAACAAACTACTGAAAAAATATCTTGGTAGTTGAAGCATCAAGTTGATCGGATCCAAGTGATAAATGATGGTTGATTGGGAAAAAAATCAGGAGTAAAAAAACACATGGGCATGGGGGATTATTATGTATTATAACCCAAACGGGACACCGTTTCCGACTACTATTTCATGAGATGGGATAGGGGTATTTTTAATGGATTACATGGAGTTTTGGAGGGTCAAAACACGACTGGAATAGTGGTAAACTTGCTTTTTCAACCATATTTTGCTGGTCTTACTATAGAAAGATCCCAAAGAGCAGCAACATGGGGCTTTAGTAATCCAGGTGGAGAACTTTGAGTGGAGAACTTTGAGTGGTGAACCGCTTGGAGTTTTTCAGTAAATATTTTTTGATTGTTTCAGATACCATCTTTTTCCACACAATTTCAGAATCGGATGTTTAGATCCAGATTTTGAAGTACATCACTTCTGAAGCTTCTTTTCTTTTTCTTGAGCCCCAAAAAAAGACTCGTGTTTTGTTTTTGGGTGGTTTTTCACAACCATCAAAACAAAAATCCAATTTCGGTTTTTCCGCGCCAATTTTGGGATTTTTAGGTCACTTCCATGGGATCTCAGACCTGCGCACGGCCTTTGCCTATGGTGGCTGGGTGGCTTTGGGTCAGACGGTCAGATGATCCAATTTGGAGATGGATGGGGTTTCCATGGTGAAGCCAAGGATTGGTGGATAGGTGGATTCTGATCATTCGGTCTAAACATATCACCGCGTCATTTATGTTAAGATTCTTATAACTATGCTTGTGAATGTGCTTATTACTCCAAAATACTGGATAGGATATCTCACAAACAACAATTGAGGCACTTAAAGACTATCACAAAGATCAAAAATAGATGATTGACTACAGTTACGATTATCTGTAGATCTGGGATGCAACCAATGGCATTTTCAAAGAAATCTCACCCCTTCCGTTTTTCTTCTTCTCCATATTGTTATCTACTTCCAAGATTGTTCTCTCTCTCTCTCTATAATATATATATATATGTTTATGTATCTATATCTATATCTGTATCAATAGCAATATGTACATATCTGCATGGTACCCCCCTGAGACCTACCTTTCTACTATTTCTATTGGTACATATTTCTATATTTATACATATTATATATAATATATATATAAATAGATAAATAAATATATGTATATATATATAACATACTTAATAATATACGACGTGTAATATAATATTATTATTATTACTATTATTTATTATTATTATTATTATCATTATTATTATATTAATATATATATATATATATACACACATTATTTCATGGCCTGCGCACATAACCCCGGTCTTTCAGGTTCGCTGATCGCCGCTACAGATCCCGTGGCTACTTTGGCCACCTACGCCTCTTTGAAGGTGGACCCAGTGCTAAACGTCATGGTCTTTGGAGCCGCTGGGAAAATGGTGGTTGAAGCCTCAAGGTTTTCGGATTGTCCATTAAAACCCATCGGTTTTGGGGTACGGCCATCTTAGGAAACCTCCATCCATGGTGATCTCATGGGATTTCGCCAACAGTGGGAATACCTTCTGGGGATGGAGGGAGCATCCTAGTATTGGGGTAAATGCAATGCCATAAACCATCCCACTAATCAACCATTTGGGGGTCATCTCAGATGATCCCAAATAAATCCAGTTTTTTTGGAGATGAACATGTTAATGACCACCCCTCCGGTGTCCTCAAAAGTGGGGATTGCCGGGAAATCCCCGAACTAAATGGAGGATTTTCCAGCATACCATGTTTGATCACTGGAGGGTACACAGAGTTATCAGATAGAGTTACCAACACAGAATATCAAGGATCAGAACATGTGTGGTTTTTGGAGTTTTTGAACATAATTTTCTGTCGTATCTGAGATTTTAGCATGGATACCCTTTTCTGGTGGTGCTGTTCAATTGGGACAACCCCTGAGATTGAAGGAAACTGGGAAGTTAAGGTTGACATTATGCGGATACAACGATGATATTACGGGAAGCTGATTTTTCTCCCTGTTTCTGGGGGGATGGAGGTTGATTGGAATCTGTGGAAATCGTAGATACTGGGGCAAAAAAAAAGCAGCTGTTTTTCCAACGGGATTACAATGAGGATATCATGTTTCGTGGGAGAAGTACTTGGGGGACCATCCCATTGAACAAGCGGTAAATAACCGTGCTTCCTCCCCGGGAATTGGGACTAGACTAGTCAAGGGATGCTGGTGTACAATACTTTGGTACTGAGCTATAGCAATTTTCACGCCTTGGACACTTTGATGAAGCTTCAAGAATTCGGTTTATTGTTGGGTTCATCAGAATGATCAGAAATTTCCTGGTTTTGCCGGTTTACATCCTCATGAACTATCCTGTCATGATATCCAAAAATGAAGGTTTACCGTTCATAGCAGTCATAGCAGTCGCTTTTTTGGACTCGCCTAACCTAAGGAGTCCATGATCAACGACGCCGTGGCCATTGTGGTCTTTGAGATCTTGAATAGCGTGGAGGTGAGCTGCTGTGAATGTTTTTTTAGAACGAATCATAGCAAAGGGGTTCAAACCAGCAAAGGAACAGTGATTTACCAGACTTCCAGGAGTGATGCAAGAAGAAGGAGAAGGAAAAAAAGAAGACGTCCCCACAAAAAGATTCAAGTCGAAAGATTAAAGCTCCCAACATCCGCGGGTCGAGTCGTAGAATGTGTTGAGGGAAGGCATTTCGAGGGCATCCTTCTATCTAATGATTTTAATGTCCCAAACAGATAGAAAAGGTTCAAAACCCCACTTAAATTTTGTGACTCATTTCTTTTCTATCTTCTTGGGGATGACTCTAGATCTGGGGGTTTCCTGAAATGGGAATATCCCAAGCTCGCTGGAGGGTTTATTTCATGGAAAATCCTTTTAAAATGGATGATGACTGGGGGTACCCTTCATTTTTGGAAACCTCCATCTGATGGTAGAATGGAACTTGATTCCTTGCAATTTTCGGAACCCGAACCGCGAGGTCTTTGGAGATCCTTGTGATCAGCAGACGACCCAAAATGTTCCGGTGGCCGCTTGGCCGCGGTTGCATTGGCTACGGCTACCCTCCGGGAATCAAAGGTGGCTGGGGTTTATCCCCTATGAATAGAGGATTTATGGGAAAATCACCAGAGGTTCATGGGAAATCCCCTATGAATAGAGGATTTAGAGGATTTATAAATGATGATTTTTCATTGCCGTGTTTGATCACCGGAGGTTGTCTAATGACACTTGACAGTTTTGTGATGTAAAGAGAGCAAATTGAGGTCACCCAAAATTGTGACCTGGAACTCCTAGCATAGATGGGATTCTATTTTTTGATGCCATGGTGAGCAAGTCTCCCAGCTATCACTAACTGATATGTGTCTTATCAAAAAATCAAAAAGGGTTATTCTTCGGTAACCTACAGTAGTCTGGGAATCGATATCCTGATTTATAGGTGAGTTTTCCTTTACACTTATGGGGAGGGTTTTTCATCATGAGATTCGACGAGGCGATTCTGACTGGCATCGCGAAGAAGCTGGTGGCTTCGGTGGCTCGCCATCGGGCGATCTGCTGCTGGTGGTGGTGGTGGTGGTGGTGTGGTTGGTGTTTATGCTAGGGCGGGGAAAACCGGACCCTATTTTTACAGTGTTTTTTTGTTGATGCTACGGGGGGGTGGGGGTTGGGGGGTGGGGTGGGATGTTGACGTCCGCTTGCACTTGCAAACCATGTTGATGTTGCGGGGTGGGGTGGGGTGAGGTGGTGCTCGGCTTCTTCTCGGCCGTGCTGGTGACGCTGCTGCTGCGCTTTGCTTCGCTGAAACATTCGCAGCTCATGGAGATTCTCTACATCATGGCCTGTGTCGCCTGGCGCGGTATTATATAATTTCCAGCATTTAACACATATCTATGACCATACGTGTATATATATATATATATACATATATATATATATACATATATATATATATACATATATATATGTATATATATATATGTATACATATACGTATATATGTATATATACATATATATATATATTTATATATATATATGTATATATATACATATATATATGTATATATATATATATATATACGTATACATATACATATATATATATATATTGGATATGGGTTGCTGATGATCTGTGGTAATTGATTGATTTTGAGATACTTCTCAGTGATGAATCTACACGCGTGTTCCTGTTTGTTGGTGATGGTGATGTTTCCTTTTTTCAGATGGTGGTTGATCTGGATGTTGATTCACTGGGATCTGGGAAGAAACAAATGGGAAGATCTCAGGTTAGTGATGGGCCAGTTAAGTCGGGGGTGGAATCAAGAAGATGCCTCATTGAGGATTACAGTGGTGGATTTAGAAGGAAGGATTTTTACCAAACGGCAGAATTATATATAATAATGATATGGATCATAATCATTTTTTCGTCCATAATTTACCAATGTTCATCCCTCATGGAGACATTCATAATTTTCTTTTTACCCCTCGTGATCCAGAACTATGGAGGGAAACGAATCCAGGGGACATGACCAGGGTGAACCATACGAAGAATGATGCGTATGATTTCAATCTGCGAAGTTCGGGTTTCCAATGGATCTAAGAGTTGATGGCCGGATATGTAAGGATAGGTCAAATATATATATATATATGACATATATATATATATATGAGAGACTGTGAGGTGATGAAGATCCATAAGTACCAGTTTTTTGATGTTCAGGCACCAGGATTTTGGCGTCGCCAGGCCGGAAAAAAGCTGAGGCCTACATGATGTATGGCCTGGCCGAGACATTTCACGCCTCTGGTATCATCGCGACCCTGTTTGGATCGATGGTCATGGGTCGCTCGGTGGGCCATTTTTGATGAAGGATACTGGACCCGGCACCATCTTGATGGAGTTCCGATCCGGAGAGCCACCCAAAAGTCGGATTCGAGTCGGTTTCGGGTTTCGGGTTTCGGGTTTCGGGTTTCGGGTTTCGTCGATTGAAACCCACTTTCGCTGTCGGTTTCGGGTTTTGGGTTTCGGGTTTCGGGTTTCGTCGATTGAAACCCACTTTCGCTGTCGGTTTCGGGTTTCGGGTTTCGGGTTTCGTCGATTGAAACCCACTTTTGCTGTCGGTTTCGGGTTTCGGGTTTCGGGTTTCGTCGCTTGAAACCAACTTTCGCTGTCGGTTTCGGGTTTCGGGTTTCGGGTTTCGTCGCTTGAAACCAACTTTCGCTGTCGGTTTCGGGTTTCGGGTTTCGTCGATTGAAACCAACTTTCGCTGTCGGTTTCGGGTTTCGGGTTTCGGGTTTCGGGTTTCGTCGCTTGAAATCAACTTTCGCTGTCGGTTTCGGGTTTCGGGTTTCGGGTTTCGTCGCCTGAAACGCACTTTCGCTATCGGTTTCGGGTTTCGGGTTTCGGGTTTCGTCGATTGAAGCTAACTTTAGCTGTCCGTTTCGGGTTTCGGGTTTCGGGTTTCGTAGGTCGAAACCACCTTTAGATTCACCAGTACGATGCCGATCTCACATCACCCAAGCGTCGTTCTCCATGCAGTCGTCAAAAACAAGAGCGGTGAGTGACAAGCGCCTGAAAAGGTCAGAGAGGAAAAACGGCAACGGTTTGGGGGAAACCTGCCAGCATCCGTAAGTAGCTGTCACTGAGTGGATTAGATTAGATTAGATTAAAATTAGATAGATTAAACTAGATTAGATTAGAAATAGATTAGATTAGGTAGATTAGATTAGATTAGAATTGGATTAGATTAGGTAGATTAGATTAGATTGGATTAGATTAGATTAGATTAGGTAGAGTAGATCAGATTAGATTAGGTAGATTAGATTAGATTAGATTAGATTAGATTAGGTAGATTAGATTAGATTAGATAGATTAAACTAGATTAGAATTAGAGTAGGTTAGGTAGATTAGATTAGGTTAGACTATATAGATGAGATGAGATTAGAATTATATTTGATTAGATTTGATTTGATTAGATTAGATTAGGTAGATTAAATTAGATTAGATAGATTAGATTAGGTTAGATTAGATTAGTTGGATAGATATGATATGATATGATATGATATCATTAGATTAGATTAGAACTATTAGATTAGAAATATTAGATTAGAAATATTAGATTAGGTTAGATTAGATTAGATTAGGTAGATTAGATTAGATTAGATTGGAATAAGAATTATTATAGAATAGGTAGGTTAGATTAGATTAGATAGATTAGATTTGATTAGTTTTGGTTAGATTAGAATCTGATTTGATTAGGTAGATAAGATTAGATTAGAATTAGATTACTTAGATAGATAGATTAGGTTAGATTAGGTAGATTAGATTATGTTAGGTAGATTAGGTTAGATTAGATTAGAATTAGATTCGATAAGGTAGAGTAGATAAGATTAGATAGGTTAAACTAGATTAGAATTAGATTAGATTAGGTAGATGAAATTAGATTTGATTAGATTAGATTAGATAGATAAGATTAGAAATAGATTAGATTAGGTAGATTAGATTAGATTAGATTAGATTAGGATTAGATTAGAATTGGATTAGATTAGGTAGATTAGATTAGATTAGATTAGGATAGATTAGGTAGATTAGAATAAATTAGATAGATTAGATAGATTAGATTACCAGCACGTTCAAAGGGGTGCCTAATGAATTTCAAAAATTGAGATTCTTAAGGGGTGCCTAATGGGCACCCCTTAGCGTTCATGGAGATGGCACAACAGAAAATGATGAGTTCCAACCCAAAATCTTCCAATCCCACCCGCGTGGCATCTGTGGTGCGCCCGACTTCATTTTTGGCGAGAAGAAATGCATGCGTTTCTTTTCGCGTCGGATGTAAAATGTTCCCAATGTTCAAGAAAACTAGTCAAAATCGACACGAAATGACACGCACAGGGGTTGTTCAAAAAGCACCCGACACGTTTCTAAGGGGTGCTTATTAGACACCCGTTTGCCTAAGGGGTGCTTATTGGACACCCCCTACCGACCGACACGACACGGCAGTGACACGCAATGACACGCATGTTTTTCTTGATTTCTCCAAAACAAATCGTGACCACTTATGACCGACACGACACGGCAATGACACGAAATGACACGCATTTCTGGAAGCAAACGTGGGGAAATCGAAGAAAAATGCACATATTACTATGAATACTTCATTATTTGTTAGTTTGGAACCTTAAAAATTAAGGGGTGCCTAATGGTTACCCCCCTTAAGGGGTGCCTAATTGAGACCCATTTGTACATCCTGGTATAGGTAGATTAGATTAGATTAGATTAGAATTGGATTAGATTAGGTAGATTAGATTAGATTAGATGAGATTAGATTAGACTAGAATAGGTAGATTAGATCAGATTAGATTAGATTAGATTTGGTAGATTAGATTAGATTAGATAGATTAAACTAGATTTGAATTAGAGCAGGTTAGGTAGATGAGACTAGGTTAGACTATATAGATGAGATTAGATTTGAATTAGATTTGATTAGATTAGGTAGATTAAATATGATTAAATTAGATTAGAATTAGGTAAGAATTAGATTTGAATTAGATTAGTTAGATAGATAGATTGGATTAGACTAGGTAGATTAGATTAGATTAGATTAGATTAGGTAGATTAGATTAGATTAGATAGACTAGATTAGATTAGATAGAATAAATTAGGTTAGATTAGATTAGATAGATTAGATTAGATAGATTAGATCAGATTAGATTAGGTTAGATAGATTAGATAGACAGATTAGATTAGATTAGATTAGGTTAGATCTAGATTAGATCGGTCCTGGGGAAGTTAAGTCTTCAGAGTCGGTTTTGGGTTTCGGGTCTCGCGTTTCGGGTTTCGCAGTTCGAAACCAACTTTAACAGTCGGTTTCGGGTTTCGGGTTTCGGGTTTCGGGTTTCGGGTTACGATCGGTCCTGGGGAAGTTAAGTCTTCAGAGTCGGTTTCGGGTTTCGGGTTTCGGGTTTCGGGTTTCGCAGTTCGAAACCAACTTTAACAGTCGGTTTCGGGTTTCGGGTTACGATCGGTCCTGGGGAAGTTAAGTCTTCAGAGTCGGTTTCGGGTTTCGGGTTTCGGGTTTCGGGTTTCGGGTTTCGGTCGGTCCTGGGGAAGTTAAGTCTTCAGAGTCGGTTTCGGGTTTCGGGTTTCGGGTTTCGCAGTTCGAAACCAACTTTAACAGTCGGTTTCGGGTTTCGGGTTTCGGGTTTCGCTGGTCGAAACCAACTCTGCAGACCTCTCTCCGGATCACGTCTCTCTTGATGGGAAAGTTGATGATTAGCGGTGAGTAACCCCTGGATTTTGAGGTATTTAGACATTTTTAGACGAAGCCAGACCAAAGTCTAAGACCCAGCAAAACAAAAGCTTTTGATCCATTGGACCCAATGACTTTGCCCATACCACACCCCAGACCCTTGAACACATTTGGATACATTTGGAAGTTAGACCAACGCCGTTGAGGCGCGAAGCACATTTCCAAGTCAAAATGTACAAAGCACCTCAGTATCGGACCGCTTTTGGAAGTTGCGATGTCGAAAAAGTGCACGCCGTTGTGGCGCAAAGCACATTTCGAAGTGACAATGTACAAAGCACCAGGGGTTCGGACCGCTTTTG